GACACTACAACCGTTCCGATGGGTTGTTCAATTCCATCTAGGTTGTGAACCAATGATTCTTGTTTCGCAAGTAACTGATATAGTGATCTTCGGTACGCCCGATGACGACCATTTATCTACATGCAAAACAACAGAACGTGGAACTTATTTAACCAAACATAATTCACATTCATCAAGAAATAACAAGTGTAATATCCACTAAAGCAAAGCTTAAGTATATAACACCAACACTTCCTCGCGCCGCGACACGCAACACGCCGCGACAGACAGCTCTCTCGCGCCGCGCCACAGGCACCCACTGCACATGTTACAGTCTTCCACGCCGCACCAGTTCGCCTCTTCACGCCGTGATGGCACAACATGGTGCGGCAACCTGCTACAGCACACGCCACTCACGCCGCGGAGGATCCACACGCCGCGCCAGTCACACCCGTCACGCCGCGGCGCCTGCTTGTTCCACGATTTTTCCTCACGCCCGTGGCACATGTTCTATATAAATACACGTATCGGACACGATTAGAGACACATCTCGACCGGGTGAAAACCTAGGTCCGAGAAAAGAAATTCACTCTCCTCTTCCCGTCCCTTCTTCTTCCTTTTCGTTTCTTCTTCTTATAATCTTTTTCATTACTTTTCCTTCTTCTTCTTCTAGTTATTTTTGGGATTAAACTTGTAATTTTTGGATTCAACACTGGAATTGAAAATCGTAAGTTCTTCTTCTCTTTATTTTTAATTCATGAAAAATGATTGAATTGAGAGAGATTATGGATTGGGTTGAATTAATTTTACGTAGCTGAATCTTAGTGCTAGGGATAGGGTAATGATTGTTCTTGTTTAATTCGCATCTATCGGGCTTTATTTGTTCATGCTTATGTGAGTTGTATTGATTATGAATTGATGAATTTGAGCTTAATTGATTGATATAATCGTAGAGTGACACTTCAATCTTGCAGTTGGAAACAATTGAATGTTAGTTTGTCGAGTTAGGATTTGTCGATTTTATATGATTAGTTGATTAATTCTCTTCTAATTTAATTAGCGACTTTTAGAACCAAAAGGGAAAAAGTCGTAGACTTAGGCTCGCATGAGGTAGATGATTTCGTAACTGAATAATCTATGTGTTTTAGATTGAAATACTCACTTGTTGATGACTCGTCCCTTATTACGAGAAGTTATTGGGATTGGGATAATTTGTGTCGTATGCTCGAACTTATTTGTCTATGTTCAATCCCTTGTTACGAAGAGTTATTGGGAGCGAATCGCTAGATGTATAAGCGAGAGTGTCAATATCGGACTGAACAATTGATAGCCTGGCTTTTGCTAGAACTTGAATTAATTATCCCCAATTCCCTAGCTTCTCCATCTTCATTTCATTTACATTTTTAGGTAGATCATTGTTTTTATGTTATTTCTTAGTTGGTAATTATTCGAACTCCCTATTTGATTAGAGTGTTTAGGTTTTATTTTCTTTTTATGTGTTATCAATATCGAAGCTAAATTCCGAACCGCCTTCCTCGTGAGATCGACCTGGGAACGAATCTTTTGATTCGGTACTCGATAAAAATAAATAAATCATTCTTACACAACAAATTTGGCGCCGTTACCTTAGTAGGCAAGTAGGATATTTTGTTTTGGTATTGATTTTATTTTTTGTGGTTCTCTTTTATTTTATATTTTTCGTGTTTTTGTTCTTCCTTTTGTGCTTCTTTGTTTTCTTTTTGTCTATTTTATTTTTGTTTTCTTTGTTTTCTCCTTTTCGTGGCTACGTGCGGTTGTTCTATTTTGGTGTGCAAGGATTATGAACTACAATCGTGATTACCCATTATCGCACACCCAACCTTGGGTTCACGAGCCTAGCTACCACGCCGGGTACCACATTCAGTCATACCCATACTCTTCCGAGCAATACCGGGACCCCTTCCCGGTCGAGCAATATTATGAGTCCCACGCACCAACGAGAAGCTCGACCATATCAGTGCTTTCGTATCATCCCGATTAGCACTAGAAGAAGCGACCGCAACCTGTGTGCCCGTCTGAACCAGCCACCTCCTCACCATGATTCTTGGGACTGCGGCCAGATTTTATCATATCCCTACGAGCAGCAGTGGGATTTGTGGCTTGTCGAGCAGTCATATGAGTCCCTCGAGGACTCCTCAGAGTATAATGCTAAGCTCAATCAGGACCTCACTCTTTTGGCATTCCAAGCGGCCCGTAGGAGCAATCTGGAGTCAAGAATCGAGCACCTAGTGGAGCGCGTGCAAGCCTTAGAGGATAGAGTTACTAATGTCACTCCTGAGCCCACCACTTAAGGGGAATCTACACATAGGGACAAGCCTCGGGAGGCTACTTTGTCGTTCGATAAAAAACTCAACCTCATCCTTGCTCGCCTGTCTGCCCTAACCACTCGTGATAATATGATTGAGCTCGGATGTGCTCGACTGAGCACGCAGATGGAGACCCTTATAGTACATACCGACTCAATCAAGGCACAAGTCGAAGACCCCCACTTTAGGCTTGATACTCAAGCTCGTACGAGGAAGCAAATGTGTAAGGCCGAAGAAGATGACAATGACCCCCAGCGAGATGTTTGTGGTATTTCAGACGGAGGAGATCCACGGGCTTGATTCTCAAGTCCCTCCTCCCATCTCCAAGTTGGAGCATCCGTCTCCGAGGCCGCTACACTGTATTACGAAGTGGGTGGGATTTAGTTTGACTTGCTCCACAGATGAGCTTAAACTTCAGGAGGTCGACGATAGAGCTCGGGTGGGAAAAGCTCTATGTATAGGATTGGGGATTGCTCAGGCCTGAAACCATTTCATCGAGAACATCGCCACCCGGACCCACCATGTCTGCCTTCTAGCCACACTGCTCGGGCTACCACTTCTCGAAAACATGAAGGCGTGGCACGAACGTCACTTCTTCCTGGATTCCGGTTGAGTTCTCTACAGGTTTCATCAAGCTAATGACTTTAAACAAGCGCTTCTTGTGAGGAAACCCAAGTGATTTACCGCTTTCCTAGATATTTTCATTATGCACTTTGTTTTATCTTTTTAAAAATTGGAGTTTGGAGTTTTTGTGGTTTATCTTGGCAGGACTTGTCGAGGACTGAGTTGAGCATGGGCGAGTGGATTGCACGTGGATGCTTATTCTTCTCGAGGCATTTCGGTTTGCACACCCTTTTCTTTTTGTTTTCCTCATTTTGAGTTTGTTTTCTCCTTCTGTTATTTCTTAGAGTCTTGTGGTAGTTGCTGGTTCTTGACATAAAATTGTTAGGTCCATTATTTGGTTTCATTGTTTTGTGTTGAAGCAATGAGGTCATTACCTCATTCTAAGTGTGGGGGAGTTGAAATTTGGATTTTGCATGCTTATGTGGTGGACCGATCCAGTATTAGGTTTCTGTGTGTTTTTTGAGCTTGGATTATGGTGTATTGTAATATTGGTTGATAACTGTTAATTGAATTTGAGAAGTTCGTGATGATGAGATCGAGTAGCATATCTTGATTAATCGGCTTGGTTGTTTTGAGGGACATATTTACGTTGTGAGTTTTGAGCCTTTGTTGTTTCTTTTGTGATATTGGTTGAAATATTATTAATTAGACTTTGCCTTGAGACTGCTTTGAAATAACTCGATTAGATTTGAGAAACGTGAATATGATTGAGGCATTCTTTGTATTATCTTTTCCTCTTTCTTTTCTGAGAATAACAATCACTAGTCACCCCTTTTGAGCCGTAATTTGATTTTAGTGATGATGACATGAGTTGCGGGTTGAGAATTAGAGGTGATGGTTGATTGAATTTGTAAATATTTCCATTTGATTTGGTTTGGAAAAAAATAAAAAGGGGAGGGAGGAAGCCAAATGGATTATACTTCTAGTGCTCTGTCCGCTAATATAGTGGATACGAGACATGAGTACGGAAAACCGGTCTAGGTGACTCGGGCAGAAAGCCCGAAGGTTAAACCTAGATTGTGTTGGTTTTGGAGTTAGTGCGAGGAACTGGTTGGTGACAACTAGATGAGTTTATTGTTATGGTTGGGTGATGGAGTAGAGTTGTTATATATTGAGACATGAAATTTGATACTTGAACACCAAGTATATAGAGTTGCACGTAAATCGAATAGACAGATAGTAATGAAAATTCAAACAATTGCGGAAGCAGTTTTTCACCAAAAATTGAACCTTCAAGAGAGCGTCCCACTCTCCCTTCAGATCTCTTTCATTAATGTGAACAACTCATACATCATCCAAGGGTTTATAGTATAGACTCCCTCTACACTCTACTTGAATAATGATTCACATAACTACTTATCTGACCACAACTCCCTTGTGGATTTTCTAGTTCGAATCCCTCGAAACTATAAGAACGAACCTCCGAACGTTCTTTTACGAAGTGTTCTGAATATCACTCTTTTCACTCAAGGAAAAAATAAAAAATAACTAACTTAAAACATCAGATCAGATTTTTCAAAGTCATCCTCACTCTGGTCTCGTCCTCCTTTTATCTTCAGCACCCTTTGGAAAGTCTTTTCACCCAAGTCACATGCGGATAAGGAAAGTAAATCACTTGAACATCTTCATCTTCGATTATGGAAGGTGAATCTCGCGATCCTCCTTCTCTCTAGATTTTGGAAAGCGTATCTCCCCCTCAATCCCAATGTCCTGCCAAAATAATAACATAAATAATCAGTCCTTTGGACTTATTTAAAATTAAAACTTATTCATACCATAAATAAACTTCCCTTAAATATTCCCGCATCTTCCTGGATCCTGTAATCGTCAGAAGGTTTAATGATTTACTGCCAATAACCAGAATTTACAATCTCCCCCTTTGGCAGATAAATCGAAAACCATGAACCTGCAAAGACGAAACAAATACAAATTTTGCAGAATACACAACTTCCTAATATCACACATGTGTTGTTCTTAGGAACAACTAGAATACCTGAATAGATTAGAACAAATCACAGGATACTAAGAAAAAATTCATCACAAGCAAAAGAGAAGAAGATAGAAAATAAGGAGTTCAGCAAACACGCAAAATAAGAAGTTTTTAATCAAAAGACAAATAAAAGTCCTGCTGAGAGATGGCTACGCCGATTCTTCCTCAGCAGATTCTTCTCCTGAACCTTCTTCAGCGTCCTCCTCAGTCTCTTCCTCTGAGCCTGCTTCATCTTCCTCACCTTCGGCATCAAACCCAACTTCTTCTTCCTCTCCTTCTTCTGAAACTTTATCTTCTTCCACAACTTTTTCTTTTTCTTTGGCTTTGGTAGCAGCATCAGCCTTCTCTTTCCCAGTAGCGACTTTGTGTTTCTCCCCCTTAGTCGTAGCAGTGGACTTTTCTCCCTTAGTAGGAACCTTCTTCTTTCCAGTACTTCTCCCCCTTTTTCAATTTAGATACCAAAGGGGCCTGTTACTTCAATGCACCGAGCACCTCCTTATAGTACCTTCGTTGATCAGCCAACTTTTGCTCATGTTCAGAAAGTACAACCACTTGTTGGTTCAAGAATCCACGCAGATGTGA